GGATTTGATTATGGTTATAAAACTTGACTGCATCTTTATTGATTGATTTTATTATTTATCTTCATTGATTGTAAATAAACAAATAAATTGATGCAAATTTCAGGAAGCCACCTACTAATTAATTAAAATGTTTTCAGTCAAAATCTGACCATTCTTGGCATACAGTTTAACAGTTTAGAATAATGTAGTATAGAATATATAAATTAGAATGCATTAAAAATTAATATTCTTAACAGAATTTTTGAATTTGAAACAAATAAAATATAACATAAAATTAACTAAAATAAAACAAAAGTTACTGCTGGAATTTGATTATTCCTAGCAGTAACTAAATGTGCCAAAGTATGGCACATCATTTACAGATATTATTGTTTAATGGTATTAACAAAAATTGGTAGGAGAATGAAAATTTAACTGCTTCTATCTTTATTAATAGCAGCAGGATATTAAAAGATAATACAAGGATATTGTTTCATATTGTCTATGAATGTGATCACTGACAGGAATTACAAATACAAGGATTTCCTTTAATTTATTGAAAAATACTTTAATTCTATAAATAGGTGGATATAAAATCTATGCATGTAACAAGTAAATCTGTATCTGTCTTTTTTTTTCTGTAATGTGCAGATAATATGTGCATTGGTTAGAATATTTAAAAACAATTGCTTATCTAATGCTTATCAAAAAATTACAACAACATTTATATCAAACTAAAGTTTTTGAGCTAGTCTATGGCTCTTAATTAGATTTACAAATTTAATGAGGGAATGCTGGTTTGAAAATGTTTTAATATTTAAGTTTAAATCTGATGAAGAGCTATAAACTATCTCAAAAACATTAGTTTAGTGAAAGTTTGTGCTAGATATCTGAAAGAAAAAGATTGTGTTATTCATTCTAATGCTTATATTTATAGGAAATTCAGGGAGAGGCTTATCAGTGAAGAATGTAATCAAGAAGGAAAATTTGGTTTTGTTGTTGTTATCTTATATTCAAACAGCATTCTCTGTATCTTATTTTATAATAGTTAGGAATTCATATACAGTAGAACTTCAATCATCCAAGATAATGTAGACTGTCTAATAACCAAAGCTTAGCTAATATGGATGGCCACGGTCATTTCAGATTAAAAAATATGAATATAAAAGATTTATATAATGTATCACTTTAAGCTTTTTTATACTTTAATGACTTTAATCATATGCAAAAACATATTTTTACATCATTTATTACACACCTAATATCTACAATAGTGTAAGAATGAAAATGTGTATATTATTACAGCTATGTTTTAATATGAATGATTTGTCTCACGGTGAAGTGGAATGATAGAATTCAGAAACAAATTATTTTGTTATAATTAAACTTTCTTTTATGAATTACAGGATAAGAAAAGTAGTGTAATTGCTTACATCTTTGCATTGGATAGAGCAGAACCGTGTAAAATCAGGGTTCTACTGTACGTCCTCTTTAAAATGATGAAAATGTTATTAGTCTGTTGTAATTACAGTAAAATAAAAATCGTGATTTTTTTTGAGGGGGAAAACTTAAATTTAATGACATTTATAATTATTTCAGTTAGATCTCATGGATGCATTTGTTGTGATTTTTGTAAGTCATATTCAAACTTCAAATAGTTATTGCTAAATATCTTGTTTGTGAAAATACAGCAAATTTTATTAGCATCATTAAGATGATTTTATTAACATTGGTGATTCAAATGTTTGCATGTATGAATAGAACAATATTAAAAAAAAATAACTTTGTTGATTGTCATTTAGTGCACCTGTTAGAAAAATTATCATTGAATAAACAACAGCAGATTTCCCATTAAATAAAAAATTGTTTCCATTATTATCATAATCACATTATTATTTTCTTTATATAGTGTATTATTATTTTTCAGATATAAATTAAAAAGTTAAATAAAATAAAATTTGTAAGCAATTATTATTTTATTTTGCTTCAGAGCAATTGGAGTTTTTAAATTTTAAATTCAGTTTGGAATCATTTCGGGAAAAGATTTGCCACTGCTGTACTATGACCATTAAAAAGTTTTTTAAAGTGTAGGAAGATTATTCCCTGTAGTAACTAATGTTTTTTGGTTTTTCTTACCTGTTTATTTTTGGATCAAGATCTTGAATATTCTACTTTCTTTCAGTTTATATTTATTTTTCTAACAACCACAGTATATTCTAACAAAGTTTATTCATTTGTAATGTAATAATTTCATGCATGGAACTATTTTTTATTCTATCCTGATCAATTTTATGATGGTTTATTTCTTAAAATGTAAACTATTTGATATTTTTCATGATTTATTTGTATATTTTGTGTATAAATCAAGCATGGGCAACCTTTCTATAATAAAGGTCTGTACAATACAATTGTGATGTGGTGTTGGACCAAAACACTGAAAACATCAGATTTCATGTAAATTGTACATAATATATAACCACAGTGGCCAAACTGTGGTTTGCAATCTGAATGCAGCTCTTCTAGACACTTAGATCATGGCAACCCTATAGTTACACAATTTCTTACTATAAACTTTAGATGTGCCAATTAGAGTTGTGTATATTGTATATCTATATGGAAGTCACAATAAGGGTTTGAAGAGTGAAATTTGGCCACTGTGGATAGATAAGGTTGAATTATAAGCAATAAAATTATATCAATTTCATTTATTTAAAATTGTCAACTAAATACTTAAAATATATACAGTAAATCCTCATTAGTTCGAAATTCAAGGGACAATATAATCCCAACTTTGAATTATGGTGTTTCAAATTAGCTGAGATTTACACATTTCTGCACAATATTCCAAATGTCATGCAATCAATGTAATTTATTAACCAAACAGAATACAGTTACATATACAGCATGCTATTTTTATTAATTAATAATAATACTAATAATAATGCACCCATACAAAAACAACTTCAACAACTCCTACAAATCACATGTTCATACTCCAAGGACATACAAATAGAGTTTGACCTAGACAAATGCAAAACACTTCACGTAGAAAATGGAGTTTTGAAGAAAGGCGATTTTCAACTTGGAAATGGAGATGTTATTGAATCCATTGTAGAGGGTGAGTTTTACAAGTATTTAGGATCCCAGCAGGCCAAACTAACAAAACATACACAAATAAAGCAAACATTAATTAAATACCAAAGTATGTTAAATGCAAAACACACAGTTAAAGCAATAAACTCATATGTTGTCCTAGTACTCACTTATTCTTTTGGAGTTATACATTGGACTCACACAGGTCTCGAACAACTCCAAAGGAGAACAAGAACAACACTTACTAATCATAAATAACATTATCCTAAATCAGCCGTAGAAACATTAACCCTTCCACATAAAGATGGCAAATGTGGTCTGATTGACATAGTAAACCTTCACTACAAACAAATACAGACACTGCAAGAGATTTTCTACAAAAAGCAAGAAACATCACAGTTACATAAAGCAGTAACTCTAGAAGACTCAAATAACACACCATTAAACTTATACTTGCATGATATGGACACAACACAACATATAAAAAGCCTAGACACCATTAAACAATTGTGGGTTCAAAAGGCACTCCATGGCAGACATCCCTACAACCTGCCCCGGAATTTTGTCTACAAAACTGCTTCAAACGGCTGGTTAGCTTGGGGATGCCGTGCCTCTTTGGGGAGATGGAAGGATTCGTGAGTGCCATACAGGATCAGGTCATAAATATTAAGAACTACAGAAAACACAATGATACAACACTCACAAATGACACATGCAGAAAATGTCACATCATGCCAGAAAGTATACAACACACCACTTCTGGTTGCAAGCTCTTGGCACAGACAGATTATTTACACAGACATAATCAAGTAGTAAATATAATACACCAAAAGCTTGCAAAGAGACACAACTTATTAGACATCCACAAATCATATCACAAATACATCCCACAGACAGTATTGGAAAATAGCAGGCACAAAATGTACTATGCCAGAGCCATAATCACAGATAAAACAGTTTACCACATAAGACCAGATACCAGACTCATTGACAAACACAATAAAATCACATACATTATAGACATAGCCATTCCAAACACTCACAATATACAAAACACATGCACTGAGAAAAAAAGCAGCAAGTACAGAGAACTTGCCCAGGAAATAAGGTATGTGTAGAGGATGGATAGGGTGCTTATTGTACAGTACCTGTCGTTCTCTCCTCTTCAGGTGTCATACTACACACACTACACAAAAGCCTGGAAACATTACAGTTGAATAGAATGGTGGCACTTCAGTGTAAATAAATGAGTTAACATATGCATATTACAGTTAAGACAGCATTTTCACTTCAAATTTTGAACTAACCGAATTCCTTAACATGTAAATCTCTATCCGTGGCTGGAACAAAAGTACAGTTATGAACTAACGGGGTTTCAAACTATCTGAGTTCAAATTAACAAGGATTTCCTATATATATATTTATATAATTATTTAATGTGAGAACTGCAATACTGATCAGTTTTTCAATATTGGGGGGAAACTAGGTTACTGCAACTTAATAATTAAACTCATTAATTACAGTTGGCAGTTTGCATACATTGTCAAGTCTAGTAATTCATAAAGGAATCTTCATTATGGATAACTAATCCACATTTCTTGCTTATGTAACCATGCAAATTTTGTTTACTGGGCATGCAGACTTATTTTAAATTACTTATGATGTAAATCCATTTAAGAATGTTGATAGTATGTGTCATAGAAAAAGTCACGGGCCACAGATTATTTGTGTTTAGTCTAAGTAATAGTTACAAAAGCTTTTATAATTATTGTTGTGATGTTTGGTTTGAAAGCACATAATTGGTAATACAAATCATCTTTGCTAATTATGTAACTTTGTTCATTTTAATATGTTTTATTTTCAATATTTTATACATATTTATATATTTATTTCATATTTTAAAATTGTTTTACTTAATTTTTACATAGCAAAAAATGGATAATAGAGAATATAGATGTCCTGAAGAATTTGCATCTGATGTTCGATTAATATTTACAAATTGTTACAAGTATAATCCACCAGATCATGATGTGGTTGCAATGGCAAGAAAATTACAGGTAAACTATACATATAAGTTTGTATCATTAATTTATTACATTTTTAATATTTTTATTAAAATTGAAATTTTTACATGGGTAATTCAATAAATTAATCACAAACTGGATTAAGAGGAAAAAATAGATGTTAATTTCTGCTAATACATACATTTACATACAAGTTTTTGGCCTGGTGACAGAGCCACTGTCAGACTTTGTTCTCATCTTCTCATTGCTTTGGAAAACATTCTTCTTGCTAAACTTTTATCAGGAGAATGCTTTTGCAGCATTAAACTCCTGCTGACTGACTTCTGGCAGTCAGCAGGAGTTTAATGCTAGGAGGTGTCTTGATTATTTTGACTACAAGCATGCTTATGTGCTACCACATCAAGAATACATGTTTTGACTCTGGATGAGAATGACTCATTGCCAATAACAATCTTACATAGTATTAAGAGCGTGGCAATAGACTATCCAAACTAAAGAATTGAACCTCAGTATGTTTTTAATTAGCTCCTGGTGTGAAAAAGAGCAAGTGAAGATGTCATTTGCATAGTCTTTATTTGTGAAAAGTGTCCTAGATTTTAAATGCCATCATACAATAGTATGATGGCATTTAAAATTCTGTATTGTAACATGTCAAATTTTTCAGGCAGACATCCATACAGTACTATAATACTGTTTCCTTTTTGGGGTAAGCTCTTTTTGAACCCATACTTCACACACCTTTTAATAATGAATGATCATGCATAATGCTATGTGTCACCTCAATGGAACATGTAATTTCTACTGCTGCACTGTATCATTTTTTCCATTTTTTATTTATTTATATCTGTTGGATCAAAAAGGGTTGTCTTGGTCTTTCTATGGAGTGCCGTTTTCATTTCACTTGTACACAGCTTTGTGACAAGCAGTCTTTTTCATAAATCAGAAGCATTGAGAATGTAATGTTTGTTGTTGTGAGTCCTTTAGCCCATACCACAACTCATTGTTCTTCAATATCCTGTTTGTCAAAACACCTGCTGTGTTTGTTTGCAAAGTATTTGAAAACTGCAAGATCAAATGCAATTGTTTTGCAATCTTATGAGAGCTAATAACTGTTACCATCTATCTGCAAACATTTTTTTTTTTTTCTTACATTTCTCCAAGGACAAACAGAATTTGTTTGTGATTTACTTATTGAATTACTGTACCTTCATATAATATTTATTAATAACTGGCATTTTCTAATAACAAATATTAAATAATTATTCTAATTTTATATTTTTGTGAAAGTTGAAAACTTGTGTAATATATATTATCTAAATTTTATTATTATTTTTTATCTTATCATATTATGAATAATAATTACATTGCTTTTAATGAAATCTGCAGAGTTATTATTATTATGTTTTTGAAAGATTATAAATTATAACTGTACAGGTGATATCAAATTTAGAAAACAAAGATTCTGTATTATTTTTCTATGGAGAATTTTTATTATTTTCTTAAATTGTGAAATTAAAAACTAATTTAGATTCCATAAAATAGAGCATACAAGATGTGGCTATAAAATAATGGAATTGATGCTGTAACTTAATTATTATTTGGAAACTTACATTTTACATGTATTTCCCTTCAATGAATGTTCTTTTGCATCCACATACTGCTGCATTCAGATTTTTCATTAATCATAACAGTGCTGTAGATCAATTTATGTCAGTGTAAGCAGAAACTTTTTTTTTTTAACTGCAGAAATTGAGTCAAAACTGGACTTCATTGCAGACTTTACTTTAGGGAAGATGTAAAAGTCACATGGAACTAGACCCAGTGAATAAGGTGGGTGTTCAAGTAGTGTGATGCCTTTCTTGTCCAAAAACTGCTTTAGTGACAGTTCTGAATGGGCTGGCACACTGTCTTGATGGAGGATGAAATCATTTTACACAAGTCTAGCCACTTTCTTCTGACTTACCTGTAAAGTTTCCAGAACATTTAAATTAACAATAAGCCTTTAATCCTCTTTTTTAAGCAATTTAATGCAAATATACTTCATTACTCATGTGGGGTTGCTAGTCCCCAGGTTGTAATTTTAAATTTCTTTCAAGTAATGACAATTACAGGACATATAGCATATGAGGCATCCAGATAGCACAACACCATGAAAAGTGGAAGGATACAGTTAAAGCTGTCAATTTGTAATATGCCCTCTGAAAGGACAAAGGACTAAGAAGAAGAATACTTCATTACATATATGTAGAATATTATTACAATGAAAAGGTTATCATACACATGAAACGCATTAATAGTTTTGTGTGTGTGATAACCCTTTCATTGTAATAATATTCTACATATGTGTTATAAACTATATTTGTATTTCCAGAACAATGTTTTTAGTAGTATTGGTTCAGTGTTGTGCCTTCTGGATACCAGTGATCCAAAATTTATATGTTAATATCAAAGAACAACTCATCATATAGCTATCTCGGTATGTAAATGATTACAGTGTAGTCCAATTGCATATCTTGTAATGTCATCAGAGTGCTTTAAAAGCACTGTCTTGCTGTTCTGTGAGGCTCATTGTGTTTAGAATTTTCAGTGTACCTGTTGTTTGCAGGTCAGCAAATGCTAGGCATGCCTATACAATGCAGTCAAAGAAATTACACACAGCTTGAATTTGAGAAATTCTTCATTACCAGGCTGAGAAGCAAGGTGGTCATTTTGCAGAGTTGTTCAATATCTGGGTCATTTTGACTTGACTGTGAGTTGGTGTTGGGAGCAGTGCACATATTTGACAGATAGACTCTGGATGCCTCAGACAGACCACCAGGAGATACGATTGTCTGATCATGAGACAAGCATGAGCAGTTTGCAATGGTGTCTTTGTTCACCATTCAGCGACAGATAGAAGACTTGCTTTGACAAAACCCTTTTTATATTGTTGGCAGGCAACTAGAAGAGGCAAATTTTCTTGGCAACTGCTACATTTTTTGCCATTAACAGCCAAAATTGTCTACTTTGTGTTGCAGTGGTGCCATGGTAGAGAAGCATGGACTGTTACAGAATGACAGCATATTGTTAGTAGCAACCAGGACTGCTACCAACTCCTGGTAATTTTAGTAGGCTGATTCCGACTCTTGACTCCAGCAAAATTAAATACCAAGTCATTTTATGGGGAGCAGAGGCACTCATAGGGGTATCCTACTCTGAACTCTAAAAGGAACTCTGGGCATTTACCCAAATACTTTATATGTAGGCTGTTTTTCAAGCTCCAATGGTTCATAAAAAAAGACCAGTGTAAATAACGAAATGAATTTATTAGTTTGGTTAGGTACAGACATGGTTACGTTTCGACATAATCACCATGAAGATTGAGACATTTGTCATATCTGCCGATGAGCTTTTTCATCCCCTTGTCATAGAATGTTGCAATGACGGCAACATTCTATGACAAGGGGATGGAATATATGAATATGACAAGGGGATGAAAATATGTTCTATCTACATTGTTTTACTTTATATTGAACATGGAACTATTTTCCTTCACTTATGTAGGCTAATTAACATTGACTCAGTTCTTATTCTGGGAAAGATGATAAATAGTACAAAGGAATTTACTTTAATTAAAAGAAGTTATGCTGTTTTTTATTTTATTTTTTTAAATGTATAGTAATGTTTACAGATAAAGGAATTATTATGTACTTGATAAGTGCAATCATAATAAATTTCTTTTACTCTGTGTTAATTAATGTATGTTCAAATCATTGCAGGATGTTTTTGAAATGAGATATGCCAAAATGCCAGATGAACCACACTCAATTGAATCATCTCAGACCGCATCTGGAGAGAAAGGTGATGAATCTAACAGTAGTACAACTCCCAGTTCAGAATCGACTGGAACCTCCTCCTCTTCAGATTCTGAAGATAGTGAAGAGGAAAGGGAAAGGAAGCTTCAGCAATTACAAGAACAGGTTAATAATAATCTAAATTTAAATTTTCACTCATTCTACAATGAGATTAGCCATTATGCTGTGCTTTTGATTATTTAGTTACATTTACAAATTAAATTTAAAGTGGACTTTATTGATCAGTCCATAAATGCTTTTACTGTTAAAATAGTAATTTACCACACCTCTTCAAAAGAAATTTATTGGAATATGAAAATATGTTAAAAAGTAGTAATTACTTTAATTCAAAGTTATTAAATTTAAACTTAGATTATTGTAAATTCTTGCTAATTCACATGATGTAAATTGCTTATAAATTATATTACAAAACTTTAAAAATAGAAAAATCAGTTGCTGTTGGGTTGTTCAGAAAGTAGTTTTATTTTTTTCATTAAAAAAAAAACAATTTTCTTATAACATAAATTATTTTATTGAATTATATATTGACCATTTGGTCCAATGTCTTTTGCTATGTTTCTGGTAGTACCATAATTCCACACTCATAAAAGTTCTGATCTTTGCTTACAAAAAACTGATCCAGATGATTTTTCACATCCTCATTTGAAGTACATATTCTACCGTTTAAAAAATTTTGTAAAGACTGAACAAATAATAATGCGAGGGTGCCAGATCTGGCAAATATGGTGGGTGTGATAGCACATCCCATCCAAGCTGTAACTGCTTCTAACAAGTTACCAAACTTATGTAAGATCTGGCATTATCGTGGTGAAACATTACACCTTTTCTGTTGATCAATTCTGGCCTTTTCTGTTTGATGGTATCACTCAGTTTGTCCAGTTGACGGCAGTACACTTCCAAATCAATTGTGAAATTGTCTGGTAGAAGCTTGACAAAAAACAATTCCCTTAAAATCCCACCAAATGAAGAGCATCCACTTTTTTTTTTTTTAAATGAATATCAACTTTTGAAGTGCTTTGAGCTGGCTTATCTCTTCTACTTCATGATCACTTGCATTTGACATTGTTATAAACAATCCATTTTGTCATCAGTTATGATTTGCTTCAAAAATGGATCATTTTCTTGACGTTTGAGAAGCAATCACAGATGTCAGTGTAACAGAGCAAATCTCTTTGTTTAAGAACATGTGGAACTCATATATCAAGCTTTGAAATGAAGCAAGTCATTTCAAGGAATCATAAACAGTTGAATTTGACAAATTTAATCTCTTAGCGATTTCTTGTGTTGTTATTTAGCGGTTTGCTTCAATCAATAACATTTTTTGTCTTCATCAGCTTCTACTGGCCTTCCAGAACATGGTGCTGGAATGAACTTTTGTGAACTAATTTTAGCATTGTTGTTCTGTCAACACATCTTTATACACGGCAAACAATTTTTTTCTTGCTTGAACAGCATTCTTACCTTTTTGGTAATAAAAAAGCAAAATATGCCGAAAATGCTGCTTTCAATTTTCCATATTTGATGGAACACAAAAAAAAAAAGAAAAACAATTGCAAAGAATCAAACAAAATTGTACAAATAAACCTTGAAATGTCAAAATTTATAATGACAATATGATTTAGATTGAAATTGGCAAAAAAATACAACTAATCTCTCTGGTGGTAAAAAAATGAAATTTCTTTCTGAACAACTCAATATATTATGGAATTAAATTGAAGCCTTGAAAACCCAACTCAAAGTTATGTCATCTGAGCTAATCTGACTGTTTTGAAGTGATTCCTTTATAGTAAACACACTGAATCCAACAGTTCAAGTTGCCTGTTTTTGTCGTTTAAAGTTTGGTGGCATAATTTAGAATTAGTTAGTGAACTCTTCTTGTATTTTTCAAAATATAAAGTTTCTTCATTGTTTTGAAATCTAATCTCATGATGATAAATTAATTTTTAAAAATTTTACATCAGTAACATTATTTTCTAATTTACTTTTCTATTTTACATTAGAAATCTATATATTGACTTTGTCTTTATATTATTAGTGAAGTTAGAAAAATATTTTTTGTATTTTCAACATGATAACAAGAAATGTTATTTGACAAACATATGTTAAAACTCTCTCTTATCCCTACAGCTTCGAAAAGTGACAGAACAGATAAGTTTACTAGCGGCTGAGAGCAGGAAACGTGACAAAAAGAAAAAGAAGAAGAAAAGAAAAGAAAAAGAAGACATAAAAGAAGTAAAAGTAGAAGAGGAAACTCCTTCTACTGAAATAGCAAATACTGCACCATCTGTTACCCAAAATCAGGTGAAGCCTCCAAAAACAATGAAAAATAAAAATAATAATTCTAATAAAACAACAAATCAAAATAAAAATTCGGGAAATCAACAGAAACGACCAAGGACTAATAATAAAACACCCAAAAAAAGTAAAAGCATTCCTTCATTCGAGAGTGAAGATGAAGATAATGCAAAACCAATGTCTTACGACGAAAAGAGGCAGTTAAGTTTAGATATTAATAAACTTCCAGGTATGTATATTTTTATGAAATCAGTAAGCTTTTTAATGTATATTTTAATATAATAAATATGTTTCATCCAATTTTGTTGGTTGAAGTTAACTAATTTCTTATTAGAATTAAATTATCCAAAATTGATATGCATTTATAATTCATAGTTTTCTTAACGTTTTCATGGAGTTGTTTCAGATTGACTGAATGAAACAAATTGAATTATTTTCCTTAAGATAATTAAAGATAATGTGTACAATGTTATCATAGTACACATCAGTGATTTTCAAACTTTATGGTTTCATACCCAGGCCTCGGAGTCGCTCACTTTTCTCACTTATTCTCACTTTTCTGAAGTATCCTCACTTTTCTCACTTTTCAGGTCATTTTCTCACTTTTCTCACTTTTTTGGTCATTTCCACGTGCTTAAAAATTAGGAAGATGTGGGACCAATCAAAAATAGTTTTAAAGCCAGGCGATCTGCCGAATTATCGAACCTATCGGACTAGAATTTTATGAAAAAAATACTCCGCTCAAGCGGGACTCTTAATCGCAACTGCCGCTCAGTGTTAAGTTATCGTCTGTATTTATACGTAACTAGGTAGTCAGTTAATTAAAACAATAACTTAAATTTAAAATTAAATTAAAATTTTAAAACTCTGTTCTTTATATCGAAACAAAAACTGAAATCATAGCTAAAATTAAAAATAAAATCAAAATTAATTAATGTAAATTAAAATTGAAATCAAATCAATTGAAACATATTATTTGGGAAGGTGCGGATAAAGTACTTGTCGGTCTTGATTGATTTGGTTAGGTCTATATTTCATGCAGGCATAGCTGAGAGTCTATTTATAGCACTTATTTGTAAAGGGTTAGAGCCTGTACACACTAGGCGTTTTTCAACGCACGTTTTAAAGAACCTAGAGTTCTATGTAGCCGTACACACTCAAACGCGCGCTTTTGGCCAAGCGCGCGTTAAAAGCGCGTTTATAGATTTTTGTTAAAACGCACGTTTTGCGGGCGTTAGTCGAGCGCTTTGAGATATATGTGCTGCCATGTTACCGTACATGCGATCGCGCATTTTCCCGGCGCTTTACGGGCACTTCTAGATTTACGCCGCCATTTTGCTGTATATTCGATCGTGTGCTTTTGGGTAATATCTACTTTTATAATATGGAGTAAGTCGTCAAATGATTTTATAGACATTTTAAAAGAATTAAAAAACTTGAATTTATTTTGTCTTAGTTTTGGATACAACGTCGCAAACATTTCATGCGTCAGTCTATCTCGTAATATTGGGTGCACCCAAAATTCTCTTTGCCTCTGCCGTCGTCTTTTATAGCGACGATAGAG